CGTCGCAATTTCACGACGCCTAATCCAGCTGTTTGCTACCCTCCTATTTCCCCATACTCTCTACTCCGGTTGCTGGTGAACGCTGGTGGACGCTGGTAGACGCTGGCAGACGCTAGATTGATATCTGTACTTTCCTAGTCGGTGACGCTGCCTGACATTCGCAACGCTAGTGGACGCTGGGTATACGCTGCCGCAAAGTATGAAGGCAGCCTAACTTAAGTTTCAAATCCTCTCACCTTAACTGATGTAGCGATACTTTGCGTGACTGAAGGACCACTGTCATAGTCCGGTGGTGGGCTTCTCGATCTAAAGAAGTCACAAGTTACCCGTCGTTATGACTATTAACTATTACCGAACTATTACCTGTACCGTTGATGAGAATTCTCGCTTGATGCAGCAACCTTAGCCTTTAATGGATCTGGTTGAGCATGAGCAGGTGCTGGTGGAGGTTCATCACGCTTCCGATCGAAGCGCTCATAAACCGCAGAATATTCGGGTGATTCCGGTCTCTTAAGCGACAAAAGCGCTCTTATCGATTGCAATTTTCATTTCTCAAAACACTTGAGAGTACATTTACTTACTTGTTTGCTCTCGAACGATGATGGGCTCACCGCATTTCGGGGTTCTTTTTTATCCAGCGTACCACCGTACGATCGTGGCGTGGAGTACCTTGAGAAGGACTATACTGGAGGGCTTGCGAAGCAGGCAGTACAAGTACTGTAAAAAAATACCTATCCGGAGAATGACTCCTGTCGATTGTCACACTACCCGGTTGTCCGTACTGGGCTACAGTGTATCCAACCGATGATGAAGCAATTCGATCCCGCTCGGCTTGTGCTCGCCGTCGTTCGCGTTCTTCTTCGGCTGCTATAGGATCCAGCTGCTCAACGCGACGTATTCGCTCACCAGTTGATGGTGATGGAGTGCTTCTAAATTACGCGGCTATTTAACACATTCAATACCGCATGACATACATGGTGTGTCATGCATTTTTCTCGCTGCACCGTTTCCCATGGTCTATTTGGCAGCTTGTTCATGCTCCAAAGTATCAGCACGTTTTTCAGGCCACAGTACACATATCTCATAGGAAAGTGAAAGAAACACATTAAATTACTGACTATCGATTTGAAAAGTAACGAAATGATGCGGATATACTCGCACAACGGCGTTCCGGAATATGCTAACTTTTAGATAACCCCATATCCCGAAGATATGGAAGGCGTGGCTACGCACCTCCCTCAAACGTCATGTATGCTACAATTTTCATGAAACATTTCCATTCAAGACAACTATCATCCTGTCTTCTCCTGCTCAAATACAATAACAACTGCGCAAAACGAAATTATCCCATCAGGAGTGCCTTGTTTTAATGCAGTGCATAGCCACGCCCTCCCGATCTTCGAGATAAAA